AGCTAAGGTCACATCCATATGTCACAATAGGCTAATCTATGTTTAAGGAAAAAAGGAAGGTACAGCCCTCCTTGGCCTAGAGCACTTCATCAGAATACATATGGACAATTGCATGAATGCATTCTCTGCCACATTAGAAAGTCTCTGCCTCTGGAAGGATACAAAGAGATAAGGGGTTTGGCTTAGTAAAGCTTTCTCACTTATATGTTAGCTGTCTGTGTCCTGAAAGGGATCCCCCCCCCCCCCCCATAAAGGAATATTCACAGCGGTGATCCCCTGCTGCTCTCTGAAGTGGCGCAGTCCCTGGAGGGCTGTATCATGTGTCTGAACATGCAGACCCTCTAATTTGTATGTAAGCCCTGGAACATTTTGACTAGTGAGCCATATAAAAGAAGGGTGTTTCAGCCGTCACTGGGTCCTTGATCACATAGGCAGCTGTGCAGAACTGTTGAAGGACCAGAATTGGCTATGCTATGTGTTAAAGTAGGGGGAAAAATGAGTACTTGCCTTCTCCAGATTTTCTTTTTATGCTGTCCATTAAGTAATACTGTTTCCAGTGGGAAGCATGGCATGCTATCATGTTGCTATACCCTGAAACATGGCAAACAAAATAAATGACGATGTGTGTGCACAGACTTGAACTTGTTTCAGAAGTATTCCCTCTGTGCCACCGACTCCCACTCACATCCCCTTTCCAACCTGCATACTTGTGTGCCCCCTACTGCCTACCGGTGCACCTTCCCTCTGCCTGCTTGCTTGTGAGGCCTCCCACCATCTACGCCCTCAGCCACATGCACCAGGCTCATGCCCTTCCCTGGTGGTGCAAAGGCAGCAAGTACAGCCAGCAGCACAAGTGGTGGGAGGGCTTCCAAGTGAGGCAGAGGGTGGGGAAAGGTTGCATGAGTGGGGGGTAGTGGCAGTGGGCCCTGCTGGAAGGTCTAGGCCTTGGCAGCTGCCCCTCTTTGACGTACACTGGTGTTGGACCTTATTCTCATTCGTCAACTAGTGATGTTGCTGGAATTCATAATTACCAGGCTTATAATATGAATTTGTGGAGTTAGATTTTATATCCAGGACTAGGGCCAAAGATATATTTACCAGCAGGCATATTCTGTGAAGGAGGAAAAGTGGCATGGTAAAGCCCAATCTCATCAGTTCTCAGAAGCTAAGCAGGGCTGGTACTTAGATGGGAGACCTCCAAGGAAGACTCTGCAGAGATAGGCACTGGCAAACCACCTCTACATCTCACTTGCCTTGAAAACCCATTGCTGGGGGTCACCATAAATTGGTTGCAACTTGATGGCACTTATATAAGTATATTCTGTGAATATGCAGGAACTCTTTTTAAACATTTTCATTTTTCTCTTGTCTTTTCTCTATTGACACTTCAAAATACAGGAACAGCAACGGAACCCAGGGATAAGAACATATGAACATTAGACGAACCCTGCTAGATCAGACCAGTGGTCCATCTAGTCCAGCATCTCGTCTCACACAGTGACCAACCAATTCCTCTGGAGGTCCAACACAATGGCATAGAGCTCAAGGCCTTACTGTGATGTTGACTCTTGGCCCTGGCATTTAGAGGTTTACAGTCTCTGACCACAGGGGCTCCATTCAGTCACATGGATGTTCACTTAGCCCCTTTAGATCCTTTTCTCAATCAAAATACGTAGATATTTCCACCTATAATCATAGAATCATCGAACGTTAGAGTTGGAAGGAACCTTGCAGGTCATCTAGTCCAACCCCCTGCACTCTGCAGGAGCATATCTGAAAGATAGCTCTACATACCTACAACATACCCGAAAGATGGTCGTCCAGCCTCCACTTGAAAACCTCCAGTGAAGGAGCATCCACCACCTCCCGAGGTCACTGCTCAACCACTCTTAGGAAGTTTCACCTGATATTTAGCCGGTAATGACTCCCTTGTAATTTCCACCCATTAGATCTAGTCTTGCAATCCGGAGCAAGAGAGAATAGATCTGCTCCATCTTCTACATGAAAGCCCTTCAAATACTTGAAGACTGCAATCATGTCCCCTCTAAGCCTTCTCTTTCCCAGGCTAAACATACCCACCTCTGTCACTGATGATGATTCCTTGGATTTGGGAGTAGGGATGGGCATGGCAGTTTATTTGCCACAAACTTGACTTCGTAAACCACAAACTGTCCAAAATTTGTCATGAACTTTAGTTTGTGAGCTGGTTTGTGCCCATCCCTATTTGGGATAGGAAAACATGAAAACAGTTGCACTGAGAATAAAACCAATATAGGTTAAAGGTGAGGATGTGCTCAGAGTTTCTTCACGTGAGAGTAATTCTGGAGCACAGTGAAGTAGGGATGTTGAATAGATTTCTTCAGGTAGCTTCTGTTTTCTTCAGGTAGCTTCTGTTTTCTTATCCTTGGGTCATTCCAAACAGATAGCAAGAGCAAAATGAAAAACAAGGCATGTCATTAAAAATGTAGCAGCCCAGCCAAACGGTTTCCAGAAATAAATACTTACCCTCCAACTGCTTTCATATGATGCATATTTTCCAAACAGACCATGTAACTTTCCAGAACACGATGCTTGCTGAAGCCGCAGCTTAACAGAGCACAGAGAGATCTAAGAACCCTAGATTATTTTAAAACCAAAGAATCCAGTTACCTAACTGATAATGGCTGAGAGCAAACAGATGGGAGAAGACAGATGTAAATCATGCAACTGCCTTTCTCTATGAGTGTAACAAATATTGCTCCTTCTGAAATAACTCCACTGGTGACCACTAGTCATCTCCCATGACAATATTATCACACCCAATAGCAAAAGCTACATTTTCACTGAATGATGAGGATTCAGTCTCATTCTTAGTTTTGTAGTGATTCAGAATGGCAAAAGAATTACCCCTATTTTAGGTATACAGGGATATATTTATATATTTACAGTCGACTTTTCCCCCTCAGTGGGACCCAAACTGGTTTACAAAATTGTCCTCCATTTTATCCTAGCAACAAGAACTTTCTGAGGTAGGTCAAGCTAAGAGAGGCCAAGTTCACCCAGAAGAGCTTCCATGGTATTAGAACCTGGGTCTCTCAGATCCCACTTTGATATTCTAATCACCACACTACACTGGGTCACTGGGATTCCACAGGATCTACGTGCATAAACTGCAGAATCATGTGAGATTTAAGTGGGAGAGCTCTAAAGTAGTATAATGGTGAGGTGCATCACTTCAGACTGCAGTTTGGGCTACTCAAATATTTAATACTTACCTATATTTTTTAAATGCCTTGCAAGAAAAGTAGCACAGCAGAATGTAATATTCTAACCCTGTGTCTTGTTCCTGCAGTGTTTGTTTTCTATGTGACGTGAACTTGTTTAATGCCTGGCAACATGATCTCTGCCTGCAATCAGAAGTGGTACAGTCCATCCTACCACCATAGACTCTACCATCTTATTCCCATTTCTTTCTTTTGCATGTGCATATCCAGTTACCTAACCGCAGTGTGGTATAGTGGGTAGAATGTGGTCTCAGTATGTGGGAGCCTCAGCTTAAAATGTCTGTGTAGCTGTGAGGCTCATGGTGTGGCTAAGGCAAAATCACTGGCTTCTGAAATAAGATGTGGTTATTTCACCCAGTTCCAAAGAGAGGAGTGAAAGCAGAAATGATTTTTTGTTTAAATCCCTCAGCAATATTTGGAATTAACATTTTGCATTCAGACTCTTAAATCAGATTTTTTTAAAAAAATGTTTTGTCATCTCTTTCAGATTTTTAACCAATCCAGTATGTACCAACTGTGAAAAGTATCAAATGACAGAAGTGATCAGACACCAAATGTAGCTGGCATCATAAGAATGCAATGGCTACTAGCTGCAGTGATTAAAGGGAACTGCCATGTCCAGAGGTAACAAACCTCTGAAAGCCGGGGCCAAGACACAACACTGGGGAAAGCCTTGGCCTCAATGCCTTGTTTGTTGGCTCTGCAAGGCAATTGGCTGGCTGTTGTGGAAAACAGGATATTGGGCTAGATTGATCACTGGACTGGTCCAACAGGGCTCTTTTTAATAGTCCTTAGAAATGTCATTGTGTGCTGTTTATCGAATATTAGGTAATATCAAATAGCTATGAAATACTGTAGAATACAAAATTCTGTTACATGTCAGCCATCAAGTATAGAAAATAACATACTGTGGCATGGCAGCTTTCAAATACTCCAAGGATCTCTTCTCAAATGTTGAGAAATATTTTAGTCAAACAATAAGAAGTTCACCAACACAAAATACAGAGAAGTACATCATGATCGAAAATGCTAATATGCGTATGCTGGAATCAAGTTTCATAGTCTTTAAAGTGTCACTAGACTCCTGTGGTGTAGAGCTGCGGTGGCTCAAGTGGTTAAGACGCTGAACTGTAGGCCGTGGAAGGTCAGTAGTTCAGCAGTTCGAGACCCGGGTGCTACATGATGGAGTTGAGCTCCCATCTCTAGTTCCAACTCCTGCCAACCTAGCAGTTCGAAAGCAAGAAATTGCAAGTAGATAAATAGGTACCACTTCGGTGGGAAGGAAACAGTGTTCCATGCGCCTTGGTGTTTAGTCATGCCGGCCACATGACCACAGAAACGTCTTTGGACAGCGCTGGCTCTTTGGCTTGGAAACGGAGATGAGCACCGTAACCCTAGAGTCGGATTTGACTGGCTTTCGAGCAAGGGAACCTTTACCTTTACCTTTAGACTCCTGTAACATCAGGACAGTAGTCAAACAGATGTTCAATATGAGGAAACAGGTTTTTCATCATGGCACGCAAGTTGTTTTGTTATGTTTGCGCAACTTGTCTGCTATATTATACATGTATGTATGGGAATAACTCAGTAAATGTTGAGAATCAAAAGCTGTTGGGGGACTGCAAATAGTTTAGCATTGTGAAAATGCCTTATTTGCAGTTTCGTTTCTCATTTTCTCCTTTTGTTGCCTTTAAAAATGAGGTCAAAGTCTGGAATTTCCTCAGTGTATAAACAGCGAAAAAGTATTGCTCACTCATCATTGCTTCTGGGGTTCAGGAGAGAGACAGTAAGAAGAACACTTGAAAGGGACAGAAGTAAGTAATGAAAATAGCTTTCTTGGAACTCTGGTTCAGGCAAATTAAGGATAAATAAGAGCAGGATTTTCCAGAATGTTTTTGTGCTCATTTGAAGCCCAAACTCCTGCTCTGGATGAAAGCGCAATGAAGGGCATCTGGGCTATTTAGTTCATTTGGAATGAGGAGACTTCATGGTCAGGATTCTGGGAGGCAGCTTGGTTATTGTCTGAGGAAGTTTTGGTGTGGATTAACACCTCTAGCCCACTGGAAATGTTCAAATATTTAAACGGGTTTCTACATTATAAGTCTTGAGAGTCTTTCCATAAATTTGTACATCTCGGTGAAATTTCCAGAGGGGCATAAAGAAAATGCCTTTCTGGTTTCTAATGACAGGGGGAAGGTTTATAATCTGAATGTGGCTAATATGAGGTCTAACATAGGAAACAACCATTCTGAATTTGATTGATTATCCTCAGAAATGGGGCTGTTTAATGAAAAACGGTCTGGTGGGCGTACATTTTCCCATTCCTGGGAACAGATGTGATTTTAAAGCTGTGCTTGCCAGATGGAGATTGCGACTTTATTACCTTACAGAAGCAAAGATAGCATCGAGGGGCTTCTCAGAGTGTGAGCTCTCCTGTGCCAGAAAATGGTGTGTGGTATTTTCAAAGGATATTAAACCGTTAACTTACTAGGAGGCATATGTGATGTAACTATGGAGATGTATGAAGTGCAACACTTGTCCTCCACACCACAGGTTCTTCTGCTAGTCTACTACTCTGGAACAGAGGGTATGGGGAAGCTGGAAGGCTGTAGATGTGGCTCTGGCTTATCTGTCTTAATGATTTGTTTTATTGATTTTAATAGAGGGTAATTTTTGTCTTATATTTATTGTTACTTGGTCCTATGTAAGGAGAAAGGTGAGGTACATAAATACTTTAAATGCATAAGCATGTGTTGTTCCTAGGGTTCTCAGCTCCAGGTTGGGGGATGCCTATGGAGTTTGGGGTTGAGTATAATGTCATGGAGTAGCAGCCATTTTCTTCAGGCAAATTAATTTCTGTAGTATGGAGATAAATTGTAATTCTGGAAGATCTCCAGGCCCCACCTGGAGGTTGGTAACCTTAGGTCCCCATCTATTCCATTTGCCTCAGCTACTTGATGATCAGGGCTTTAAAGGGGTGGGTCAGAAGAAGCTGAGCTTTATTAAAGAGGCATTAACCTTTCCAGAATGCCCATGGACATGTCTGGACAACATTGTGAAAAACATTGTCCTGTTATTGCTTGAAATGGCAAGCAGGTACAGTGGTGGAAAGTATCATCAAGTCGCAGGTGACTTAATGGCAACCCTGTAGGGTTTCCAGGGTGAGAGACAAACAGAGATGGTCTGACTCTGTGTAACTAGCCTTGACTTCTTTGATGGTCTTATAGAATCATAGAGTTAGAAGGGACCTCCAGGGTCATCTAGTCCAACTCGCTGCACATTGCAGGGAATTTACAAATACCTCCCCCTCCACACCCCCAGTGATTGCTGTTCCACGCCCAGAAGATGACAAAAAATCTCCAGGATCTCCAGCCAAACTGGCATGGGGAAAAATTGCTTCCTGACCGCAAAGTGGCAATCAGCCTTTCCCTGGGTGAGTAAGAAAGGGCCACAAGAACTAAGCACTGAGGCAACCCTTCCTGCCCTCCCTCTCATGATTTGCCTAAGTTCACAGAATCAGCATTGCTGTCAGATGGCCATCTAGCCTCTGTCTGAAAACCTCCAAAGAATGTAGTAGAAAGGTTTTCAGATAAGTCAAAAGTGGAAGAAAATGACATTAAACCCACTACAATTAGATTAAAGAGGCCAGCTCTGAATAACCAAAAATGAAAGCAAGTTTTCTTTAAAAAGTAAACAAAATCCTAGGAAAGTAAGGAAGTTTTCTCCAGTTGCACGAAGATAAACTAGTGCGACATCAACTGCTGTAGACAGGTCATTTTGTAGTCTTTGTGCTTGTGTTGTGTACAAAAACACACAGAGGCACAAAGCGATGCAAGTTAAAATAAAGTTAAAGTAAAATGAGGCTCAACAAGAAACTGCACAAAAATAAAAAACATGTGCATTGCTACAACTTGACAGCCCAGCCATGATGCAGTGCAGGTTGGTTCCATGTTGGCATTCAGCCACTCAAACATGCACTGTTTTTCATTGGCACAGACTCTGCTTTGGTAGTATAAAGATTCAAAGCTGGATGAAAGTCTTGTGACTGCAGATGTAGCAAAACCTTTGCATTGTGGTTTAGATCTTGCCGTCTAAGATGGAATTGTAAGCCGTTCCAAAGCCCACATTACATTTGGATGACTAAGAGCTTTAATGAAAATCTTGCTATCATTCCAGCTCTCAGTATTTTTCAGGTTAATAATGAGGATGCCCTACAAGAGGTTGTGGACTAGGAGATGTATAACTGCACATTTGCTTGGTACTTACCCAGTATATTCTTTGATTGGTTTATATTGTCTTTACCCTGTACTTGAAGGGTCAAAGGGAAGTTACAGAATTGCAAAAAAGATAAGCACATTACAACAGATTGTATGAACATGTAGCAAGGAGTTAGGCATTAAGGATGGAAACATATGACAGGGATGAGGTATATTTTGGGGGATCATAGCTAACAGAATATTTTGCATTTCAGGCTCTAAAGAAGATGCTGAGTATTCTTGGGGCTGTGCTTTTATTCTTTTCGGTTTTCCCATTCACCACCTCCAGTTTTGTTGTTCATTACACAAGTTCTGGTGGAATATGTCAAAATGCTTGCGGGTATCATGGCTATGACTATACCTGGTGTCAGCAAAAGGGGGGCAGTGGAAAAGCATGGGACTACTGTTCCCTAGAAGAAGGCTTGGGAGCTTCAGGCAAAGCTTGTGCCACATCCTGTACATACTGGGGATCTTCCTACCACAGCTGCTACTTTGAAGATGGTAAGTGGCACTACTGTGGATTGATAGCCCAGCGGGAGTACCTTGCATATTCTGAAGACAACTACATGTGTATCGATAACTGCAGACTAGATGCTACTGTAGGTTATTTCCAGTGCAACACAGTCCTTGGTTCTCAACGCTGTTCCCCATTCCATGATATCACTCCCACAGGTTTCCCCTGCCATTCTAACTACCGGTGTGCCAAATATGGGCACAGTGTGTACCGGTGCCATACAGAGGATAATGAAAACAAATGGGATCACTGTGGACGGAAGAGCTTGGATCCGTGTGTGTGGATTCTCTTTGAGAATAGCACTTCCCAAGCAGACATCTGCACACTTCCTTACTCCCAAAAGAAGGACAAGATCATTTTCCGCAGAGAGAGCCGAAATGAAATAGTTCCCTTTGCCAAGGAGGATTTCAGAATGGCAGCACATTTTATTGATGGGATCTCTTCCACCACAAGCTTCCCTGACACTGTGGATCTGGCACATGTTCGTTTCTACAAGCAAGAGAACATCTTCTGTAAGGGTCTCAATTATACTAATATGGAATTGTGGGTGGACATCTCTAATCGCGCCTCTGCACCCATTGCCCATGTCATCTTCCCAGACATCCTGGATGCTGTTGAAGTCTTGCGTTTAGCATTTTACACAAGCCTTCATAGCACTTTCTATCAACCTGCTTATACCATTACTGTGTCCTTTGGTGAACCAATGTTGTGTTCCCCTGACCTGTGATTAACCAAGTTCTTTATGTATATCAGGTATGCAGAAATGTTTTTACCATGGTATACCTGCCGTATTAACTTGAGGACATTGTTACCTCCTTCCTCTTATTGCAGTATTACAGATCTTTATAAATCTTGCTCTTGGTTGTGGTAGGTCATATGAGATGCCTTCTTGTAATAATCCTGTTATCAGAGAAATGAGCAACTATTGCCTGTAACCTTATTTGTACTCAGAAAGGGGCACACCGTATACATAATACAGTGGTATTTTTGGTGGGTAGGGTGCTACGCTTTGTAATCTGAGATACTTAAAATATGGCATTTATGAAATTAATAAAATCTACTAAGTCTGAATAGCAAATTGTTATTGAAAACCTGTGTGTCATGCTATAGGTATGACTAGGCTGGATAACCAATTTTAATCCTTACAAGAATTGACCTTTCATACTTGTGATGCTTTCCTAAAACTGGTTGATTCCCCATATCATTTCTGGATGTGGCTTTTATCGCTGCAATTGAAGGTGGTTCCGTGCGCCTTGGTGTTTAGTCATGCCGGCCACATGACCACAGAAACGTCTTCGGACAGCGCTGGCTCTTTGGCTTTGAAACAGAGATGAGCACCGCAACCCTAGAGTCGGATTCGACTGGCTTTCGAGCAAGGGAACCTTTACCTTTTTTATCCAGTTGGAGCCCAGGCAAGGATTGGATCCAACCAGCTTTTTCCACTGGTGAAAAACAGTGGAGCGGTTAAAGGGGGGGGGCAATAACCCAGCTGTGCAGGAAAGAGAAAAACAAGCAGTTATAAGAACCTAACACAGAAAAAGCCAAAGGGAAAAAACAAAACCTGTTTTATTCCAGAGAAGCCAATTAACCCTTCCATTTGACTACCTCAACCCCCCAAAACTAAAAAATAAGCCAAGACTGGAGACAAACAGCAACATTTTCAGGGAGCTGAAGGTGGAACAATAGAAACCTGCCAGATGAGAGCCAGGGTGGCAGAGCAGTTTGAGTGTCAGACTAGGATCAGGGAGACCCAGGTTTGAGTCCCCCTCTGCCACGACAACTTGCTGGGTGATCTTGAGCCAGTCACACACACACGCTCAACTGAACCGACTTCACTGGGTTGTTGTGGGATAAATGAGAGGCGAGGAGAATGATGTAAGCTGCTTTGGGTCCCCACTGAAGAAGAAGGTGGGGTATAAATAAACTAATGGGACAAAATAAATGCATGCATGTATACACTGTGGACTGCAATGGCTGGACTGTGTCTCCCTCATCATAGAATTCGGATTACTGCAGGCATACGTCAGGACTAGCAGTCCTGGGTTCAATTGCTCCTGCTAGTTCAATGAGAGCTTCACTGCAGATCACAATTACGGGCTCCACTAAGTCCAGTCACCTATCACCTGGTACAAGAAAGTTGCAGAATTTCCCCTCAAAGGCTGTGCCACTAGAGTAGTGTAGGGACTCTTTTATAACTTCTTCTGATACAAAACAAGAGACACAGAAGTGACAGAATTACTTGAAAGCAGAAAATCCTTGCATTTTTAGTTAGGGGCTGAATGCATAAGAAAAGTTGATATTTGGCAGGGTTAGGAAGGTAGAAATGGCAAATTGAGAAATCCAGTGTACAGTTTACAATTTAACACAATCATTTACATCATGATGCTGGCATTGTAATCCTAAATAGACTTACAGTCTTCTAACACCACTGAAATTAATAGGATTAGAAGGGTCTAATTCTGCATAGGATTGCACTATAAGTGCACTATCCTGTCATTTCTGAACTCACAGAATGTAGAATTGTGAGATGGTGCTTTGAGAATCCTAATGAAAGCCTGCAGGTGCTTAACATATCCTCTGCTAGATGAAGATGGCTAGCTGTGTTAGTCTGTTTGCAGCAGTAGAAAAGAGTCCAGTAGCACCTTAAAGACTAACAACTTTATGGTAGGGTATGAGCTTTCGTGAGTCACTGCTCACTTCTTCAGACAGAGTGTGAGTCCATCTGTCCTGGAAAGTGGACAGATGGACTCACATTCGCATTCTAACTGTATCTGAAGAAGTGAGCAGTGACTCATGAAAACTCATATCCTCTGCTGTGGTTCAAGCTTCCTAGCATTCACATCTACAAACAGATAAACACCCTGTTTAGTTATGATTTTGACAATCCAACCACATATGAGATTGTGCCATGCATAGTCCTCTCAATGTGCATGATCACCATTTTGTGTGAACAGGGCAACACAAGTATATTCCAGTTTTTGTATGTGCGATAGGAAACCCAGATTTAGATTTCTTTAATCAAGTTGTACCTGACCTGGATGGACCAGGGTTGTCCGATCCTGTCAGATTTCGGAAGCTAAGCAGAGTATTTGAATGGGAGACTACCAAGGAATACCAGGGTCATGACGCGAAGGCAGGTAATGGCAAACCACCTCTGGACATCTGTTGCCTTGAAAACCCTGTGTAGTCACCATAAGTCAGCTGTCACTTGAAAACAAATCATGTTGTGTTGCCCCATTCATACTCATGTATATGCAATGTTCCCTCTAAGCTATGGAGTCTTGTGAGCAAGAATTCTTCTTTGTGAGCTACTGGCATTAAAGTTGTGAGCGAGCAATTTGGCTACTGCATAAAATAGTTTGCTCTGGAGCCATCCTGCCTGAGGTAGGACAAAAATGTGTGAGCCGGAAGCTAAAAAACTGTGAGCTAGCACACACTAACTCAGCTTAGAGGGAACACTGATCATGGGTAGTGCATTCTCTCATTACAGGGGGTTGGAGTATTAACATTGTAATGACTGAACAGGGCTGAGGCATTAAGAAAAACATTCTCATGAGCAATCCTGGAATTTGAGAGGGAAGCGTCTGTGTTTTGCTATGCTAATCTTTAAGGTAATGACAGTGCTATACGACTTCTATTTGGCACTGATTTTGCAACCTTTAACTTCCAATTGCTTTCTCTGCTGGGAGAATGTACTCAGGTAAATCAGCACTCTAGGAGAAGACAGTATTTAGTATAATTTCCCTCACAAGCTCTCCCCATGCTAAGTGATTTTGAAATGTGATGACACTTATATGCAAGTGCTGTATTTATGGACATATTTATTCAGTGTCCATGAAATCCCAGGTTTTCTCAGAAGGAGGCTGCTAATTATGTTTCCTCATTTCAACTCAAAATAGGCAATTTTCAGCAAGGCAGCCAGAAATAAATGCTAAACACTGAATTTGGTTGAGACTACTTCAGGACGGAGCACTTTCATGGTCACGTTGTTAAGAAACAACGCCACTCTGTGTTGATTTTCTTACCATACTTACCTATTAGAGCCGCATTCTGCCTGACAATTTTCCCCAGAAAGTTGATGTGGGAAGAGGGATTGTGGGACAGACTGTATGGTACATTGCACCACAAATGATGGGGCACTGTGAGACTGCCAGCATTGCTCCTTTGATAGTACATTGTGACCTTGGCCTCAGAAGAATTCAATCATAGACTTTTAGGGTGCAGAGGACTGTATGGGGACTATAGTATAGGTCTGCCTCTATGGATTGCCTGTCATTGTGCATGCAAAATGCAGTCTACTTCTGGCTTTGCACTGCTGCAGGTAGCACACAAAGGTGACTCCAGTTTTACTAGTGTTTAAGGATATTGTAAGAACGGCAGAGCTTTGACCACCTTCTTGACTTAGAGATGATCAACGAGTCTTCTTAGGAGCTCCTGGTTCCCAAAGGACAAAGCTCTCAAAGCACAATTAAATATCAGAGGCAGAAGAAATAGGCAGTAGATAGTACCTATTTCTTTAAACATTTCTATCCCATCCCCCCCCCACTCTGGGGACACAGAGTGGTAGGGTTGCCAGCCTCCAGGTGGGGCCTGGAGATCTCCTGCTTTTACCACTGATCCCCAGCTGACAGAGATCAGCTCCCCTGGAGAAAATGGCTGCTTTGAAGGGTGGACTCCATGGCATTGTACTATGCTGAGGCCCCTCCCCTCCCAAACCACACTCTCTCCTGGCTCCACCCCCAAAGTCTCCAAGTATTTTCCACCCCAGACTTGGCAACCCTACAGAGTGGCTTGCAAAAATGCAGTGGAAAACAAACAATGACAAAGAGTACAAGAAACTACATCCTGGGCTGGTGCAAGATCCCATGGACTGACTAAATCAAGGTTACAGGTGACAGTGCCATGAGCTCGTTGGCTTTTGCATGTTGGGTCACTCTAAAGGAACATGTCTCTGGCCATGCATAGGTTTAAATTCCTGTAGCAGGAAGAACAGACAAATACTGGGCTTGGCTTTTGCACAGTTGGCAGAGGTATCCCCAGACAATGGGCTCGGGCTGAGAATCAGCTATAGCTGCCAGGTTTCTTTAGGCCCTGGGAATGAGAGTTAAATCCTGTAGCATAAATATGCCTACTGCTTGTATGTAAATACAAACAGGCCTACAAACAGGCCTAGTAGTTACTCATATAATGAACTGAGGGTACATAGACAAGCAACTTTATTCCCTTTGCTTCTTGCCTTTTTGCTTGGCTTTGATTTCTTTATCCATCTGAGGCAATCGTACTTGTTGTGCTGTAAGAGGAGGCAGGTGAAATCCCATTCCAGATGATTCATAACTTTGTTTTGCATTTCAAAATGTTTTCTTCCTCACAGCAGAGACACGTCGATCAAGAAGGAAATCTCCCCAGGAGCCAGCTGCTTCCCAGACATCTTCAAGAAGCCTGCCCAATTTTATGCTTCTTTAGCGTAGGTGATGCCCCCCCTGCACAGATGGGTACACTGTGATGCCAGGCTTTGTGCATGATTAGACCCTTTCACCCTCCACAAGACATTATGCACTGGTATCTCGCTGAAGCTGAAGGTCACATTTATGATCGGCCCACTTTGGAAAAGCCACAAGCATTGCAACAGGATTCCAAATTAGCAATTCCCTGGTGTAACTTGATCCTTCAATGAGCTGGTTTCCTGAAAGCTGAATAGGGCCTCTCCTTAACCCAAATGGCTAACTCAAATGGGTCAGCCAACCTTATGACACAAATGTTTCCAAGGGAAAAAAACCCCCAGAAGCCCATGTATGAACCAGTGCAACTGTGGGTGTACATAAAAATGGGGTTGACTGGAGAGGTGAAATGCAACAGAGGTATTTAGTTATGCTGATGTTATTTGCTGCTGCTTATGGGAAATTAAAGGCAAAATTTCAAAGTACTGAAGGCATTTCTGTCAGCAGAACAGGACTTGGGAATGGCCAATGGAAGAGGCCCTCTGTAAGCAGAGATTTACCACAGGGCCCAAGCTACCACACCTCACTGGCTCTCATAATGTTTATTTGGGAGCTTTTAAGCCAGTT